ACACACACACAACTTTGCCTGATATCTGCCTCACTCACCCCCTCACTTCCTTTGGGTCTTGACTCACCTCAGTGAGGCCTCTCTGACCATCCTACCCACCCTTGGCACGACTTCTTCCTATTGCCCTTCCGCGCTTTTATTTTCTCCTTGGCACTTTTCACTCTCTAATATACTATTTATTTTACTCATTTACTTGTCTATAGTCTACCACTCCTACCAAATGTAAATAAGTTCCATGAGAACAGAGACTGTGTTTTATCCACTCCTCCCCAGTGCCTAGAGTAATGCCTGGGTCACAGTAGGAGCTCAATAAATATTTGTTGAATGAATGGACGAATGTGCTTGATGCAAACTGCAACTTAGTTTATAGGGTTAGCAGAGGTAACAGTAGTGAGGTGGGTGGGAGGAAATCCAAGGGAGGAAGTAGCTTGAGAGATGTCAGAGAATTTTAAGGAAGGGTGGGCAGTTGTGTGAAATGCCACAGGAAGTCAATGTAATACAAACACTGAAAAGAAAGACCATTGGATTTGCCATTTAAAAGGAAAGGCTGAATTTAGGGAGAGCAGACACATTGTGCCATGGATTAAGAATAAATGGGTGTTCAAGTGTAAATAAGATGTGTGGGCTTCAGAGTTATTTACAATATTTAAAATAAATTTGTAGCAACTGTATTTTTTTATTTTCATTTGAATGTGAGTTGGCCAAAATTTAACTTTAAAAATTTTTAGTGTTTGTGGGGTTCTTTGACCTTTGCAAACTGCTTTCACTTGTTTGATGTTCAAAACCGTGAGAGTGTGTGGTGAGTACTGTTATATAATTCTAGTCTGCCTTTTATGCAGAGAAAATGCTGAGACTTGGGTGTGTGCCTTTTCCAAGGTTACATGCTGGGAGGTAGTAGAACAGGGCCAAAAATCCAACTTTTAACTTAGAAGTGCAGTGTTACTTCCTTTACTTAAGTGATTGATTTAGTCAGTTTTATTTTGTGTGTGTATTTGTAAGCTAATTAAATCACTTAGGAAAAAGATGTGACATAAATAAACTAATAGTATGTTGCTGATGTGACACTGAGGTAGACATGAGAATGTCAAGAGACCTGGACAGGGATGATTGGTGTACTATTTAAGGATTCAGTTTGCTCAGCTGATAGTTTCATGGATTCAAATATTCTTAGACTCACATTTACTTCTAGATTATTTTCAGATGATGATTATGGACAGGATCATTTTCCCCCATCTGTAATATAACTAAGATAAAGATTGTGGTTTTTTATTCTGAGAGGGAATTTTGTGTCCTCTGCATTGAATTATTTCTGTGTATTTTATGTGAAGCTGCAATTGAATATCTTATAGTCATTTCAACATCAGTGTAATTGCTAAATAGTAACAGTTACAAGGAACATATCACAACAGTACAGCTAAGCCAACCCAGAAATGCACTGAATTGAGAGGAGGCTAATCTGATTTGTTTTGAGGTCATTTAATTAAACCTGTCACTGTGCATCCTACGTGCAAAATAAACTATCCAGTGTTGAATGGGTACCGTGTAGGGGGAAATACCTTCCAAGAGTTTAGAGTTTTGTTATGTTTTGTTTTGGGCCTCTAACAACTTAGATGTGAATTTCATGTATGTTGGTAAAACACACTCTCTGCTTTCTTAATTTTCCACTTAGCATGAGTTGACGTTGTTTTGTAATTTAAGTCCATTTTATCTTCTCAGGTTGATTATGTTAGCCTAACCATGCCTATTTTAGTATGTAGTAAACAAGAATTTAAATGAAACAAGTCTTACATTTTCCTTCATAGAAATCCATTCTTCTGAAGTATCTCCTTAGAGTTGATATAATTCCAGAGTACTTGCAGAAATACTTTTAGTTTTATGAAAATCACACAGAACATTGTTTTTGCAGGTTTCTGAAGGTTTGTGGATCCGAATTAGTGCGTCTTGAATTATCTTGCAGCCACTTCCTAAATGAAACTTGCTTGGAGATTATTTCTGAGATGTGTCCAAATCTACAGGAATTAAATCTCTCATCCTGTGATAAACTACCACCTCAAGCTTTCAACCACATTGCCAAATTATGTGGCCTGAAACGACTTGTTCTCTATCGAACAAAAGTAGAGGTAAGAATAACTCATTTATATCTTTGTTAGTGTAATAGCCAACTGAATATTAAGTTGCTTGTAATGATGTGATTTCTGGTTTTTGAATAGATATGGATATGAATTTTAGGATGCCACCTGGCTATTCAAAAATAATTAGAACTGATTCATTTTAAAATGATTTAGAGTTTTTTGTGTTGTTTTTTTTAGTTATAAGAAAATATTCTTTTCCGTGCTCTTAAAATTTTTGCAGTGCTGTTCATGCTTCCAGGTAAAGAAATAAGCAACAGGCTGAGGTGAGCTGAAATGCTGGCAAGGAACGAATTAGAGAAAGGAGTGGGAGCATGGTATGTGTGAGGACATTTGCTTGGAGAAGGAGGAAACAAAGTTGAATAGTTAAAATTCCTGATACCATAGCTTGTGAGTCTCATTAAAGAAAAATGAAATTATGTCATATATATTGAGCTACTGGCTTTTTCCACATACTATCTCTGTGACATCTTTCCAAGTCATTGCATATACCACCTGACTGTTTTCATTAACTGTGTAGTGAAAAATCTCTTTATCAGAGAAATAACAAATGTCTTCTTATAACATCAACCAAAACAAAATATAATCACTAAATAAGCTATTTACAGTTAGTGATGTACATTTGTGGAATTTCAGTAGACTTGGAGCAGTAAATATACACCTAGTACAGAACAAGGCACTAATACGTTAGCGAGAGATGAGTGGACTGTCTTTATAAGAAGCCCAGTGCATGCTAACAGTATCACAGGTTTGTACTTGGTTGGAGAATGGTTCATGTTGGGAAACCTTTTTAGAAGTAATGACCCTAGAGCTGAGATTTAGGCCCTGTTTACTGCAAGATCCCACAGTAATTAGTGAAATGAGTTGGAAAATAGGATAGTTTCCTTTTTACTGAATTTGGGGATCTTTTAAGGTTGCATAGGCAAGACTTTAGGCAAAAGATGGGACTTAGAGGAGAAAGAAACTGTAGTTGTACTTAGTTTCTTCTTTCCATGACAAGGAAGTAATTATAGTAGAGTTAGAGATGTAATTATTGGATCAAGGACTTTGTTTCCATTCCTTTGGTCCTTTTTATCTCTATTCACAAGATTCTTATGATGTATGATAAACATTGATTGCAAGCACTTCTTTAACCATACGTGATGATGTATTTTCAAAAGAGGAGTACTATAAAAATTTAACTCATTAAATAGACTTTTAAATACTTAAAAGGAAAAACTTTTATTTTGAAATAATTTTGACTTAAGAAGTAAAAAAAGCTTTATGCAAGAAGTTGCATAAAAATTAGATTCCCCTACTGTATGCATATTTTTTCATTTATTTATTAAATGTAAGTTGGGAAACCATAAAAATCCTAGAAGAAAATATATGCATATTTTTTCCTGAACCATTTGAAAATAAGTAGAAAATACAATTCTCCTTTACCCCTATAGGGGCATATGGGTGCAACCTACTCTTAAATACTTGTGTTGTGGGATTGTATTACCCTAAAATGCATACATTGAAGTTTTAACTCCTAGTACCTCATAATGTATTGGAGATAGGGTCTCTAAGGAGGTAATTAAGGTTAAGTGAGGTCATTGGTGTAGGCTCTCATCCAGGATGACTGGCGTCTTTATAAGAAGAGATTAGGACACAGACACACGCAGAGGGAAGACCACTGGAAGAAGATGGTCAGTTTCAAGCCAAAAAGTGAAGCCTTAGAAGAAAGTAACCCTGCTGACACCTTGATCTCAGACTTCTAGCCTCCAGAATTATGAAAAAATTAATTTCTGTTGTTTCCACTACCTAGCAAGCTAATACAACTTGTAAAGGATGCCATAAGAATAACTTTTTAACATATTGCATAAAGAATGTCTTTAAGCAAAGCCCTGTGTTTTACTAAAACAATCTGGATTAGTGTTAGAAGTTTGAGCCTGTTTACCTTTTCTTTGTTTGGAAAAAAAATAATATCTTGGAGTAGGGGTGTGATGGGGCATGACAGGTAGCTCAGTAAGAATGTAATTCTGTTGCTTAGCAGCAGACAAGAAAACCAAGAGTGTTTTTTAAAAATCGGAGTTATAAATGGAACACCTGCATCCAGTTTTGATTGCCTCACTTCAAGAATGATAGAGCATAAATTGAAAGAATCTGAAGAAGTGAAAAAACTGATTACAAGTATTGTGGGGGTCTAGTATATGACAGTAATCTGTAAGTGTGGATCAGCAGCTGTTTACCTGGCCTACTGGGCTGGGACAGCAGTTTCAAGGACCCTGCTGCCTTCATCTTCATAAACCAGAAGACAACAAAAGTAGTTGATCTTTACTTCTGTTGGATATCAATGCTCTCCTCCTATTTTCTTCTTTCTGTGCCAGTTCATTTGGCAGAATGAATATATAAGTAAAAATGCGTACCACCCTGTCTGTTGATGAAAGGCACCTGAGTTTTCCTACGAAACATACATGAACTGCCTTCTTAAAAAGTAAGGTTTGATTTAGTGCCATGAATTTGCTTTCTGGCACATAGATACGGCAGTCTTCTTAACCGTATTCTTATTAGATTTAAAAGACACATTACTGTATGTTGGTAAGTAGAAGCAGAGATAGCCTTTCTTTTAATAGAACCAGTGCAGGTAGCAAACTCAGACTGTCAATCAAACTGTATGGCGAATGAAAGGGATGGTTTTTCATGTAGCAGAGCCAGTGCTGTTAACTAACCAAGACCAGGAGGAGAAATCGAAATAGGAAGAACCTACTTTGGCCACCTAAATTGACTAATTCTGGCTGTCATTAACTGTCACCTAAAATGCAGTATATTTCAAACTGATTGATTTAGCTAGATGACATATAAAACAAAAGGATATTATTATTTCTTAAACAGAATCAAGAGTTAAGATTTTAAGAGCTTGTATTTAACTTATTAACTATCTTATACTAAAACTAACAAAATTTCCAAAAAGTCTTTGATATATGTCTCCATGCAAGAATGTGTCTATATGTCTCTCTATCCTGATTGTCTTTGTAGAAGTTGCAATGGGAATATGAGGCTTTTGATGGGTTTGGGTGAGTGTGATCTAGGGAATGGGCTGTGGTTCCATCAGGGACAAGAAGTCTGACTTGTCAGTGTAGTGGAGGCAGGGGACAGCACTTGGGGGTCAGACTCACCAGCAACCACATTTATGACAGTGACCAGTAGACCAGGTATGAGAAATCTATTTGGAAAGGACCAAGATAGCTGATAACAACATTCTCTCACTGTTGGCATGTCACAAAACAGCTAGTGGCTGGGTTTGCCAACTCCTGCTCTAAACCACTGAGTCTGGTTCAAAATCAAGCCCTTTACTATCTGGAAATGAAGAATTAGTTTCTCCTTTTTGCCTTAGCATCAGTGGCAGTACTTTAACTCTGAATACTAACAGCATGGTGAAAGAATATTCTAAAGATATTCTAGGAGGAAACTGGTTAACTGGATTTAGAGAGATTGCAAATTGATCTATCGATGTGTTTTTAGAACCTGGGTCTTCGCAGTCTCTGGCTTATCATGAGCTCTGCTGGACAAAGTCATGAAACCGTTAGCTTGTGCTTGCTCGCCTCAGTGCTACCTGTCAGCCCTTTGATTTATCTCTACTTGACTCCTTGTTACATACCTCACAGCATCTCTTCCAAGGTCAGCCTTGCTTTTTTCTTTGGCTATCACCTCTGTCCCCTTATATTTTGGTCTCAGCATTTGATCTCACATCTCTTATTTAGCAAAGATGTGAGATGTCACTCAACATAAATCTCTTTTGTTCTGTGTTAGTTCTTTTTTAAGGTGGAAATGAAAAATGATAGTCCTCTCTGCTATTAAATGAATTTTTAAAATTTCCAATTTAATGTACAGACTGTTTAAATTATTGTAAAATATTTGCCTGAATAAGTTTAGTATGCCATGAATTCCTCTTCTATGATTTGAAATTCCTCCAGAATACATCTACCCTTACACAAGATGTTTTCTAAATACATAATTATTAAATCTTAATTCAACAATGAGTTGTTTGTGCCTTAAAGTTATAATCTTTAAGAAAGACAATAAGCAATAGTTACAGCTTCTGTAAGGAACAGTCCAGGTAGGTCAAAATGGTAGTCTTGACAATAAGGTTTTTTTGTCTTACTCTTATTTTTAATTAGAAGAACCAATTCAGCAGGAAATGTATTTCAAACTATATCAAAAGAAACTTGTCCCAGCACAGGAGTAGTCAGAGTAGGTGACTGTTTAGACTGCTGTCCAGCCCCACTGCAGGAATTGGGTGGAAATCTTAGAGAAAGGAGAGTATTTGAGCCTGGGCAGATATACCAAAAACTATAGGGCGTCCCAAAAAATATATGCATATACTTTGAATAATTATAAAGGCAGTGTTTATTAAAATACATTTCATTTTCAAAATTGAGCTATCAACTTTTAAGTGTATATACATTTTTTTGGAACATCCTATGTACAGTTACCTGGCATTGGCCCCGCCTCAAGTTCAGAAGTAGCCTAGCTTCCTCCTGGTTTTGCGATATCCCCCACAGCACTGCAGAGCAGGACCACTGCACTTTCAATAGAAGCTCTGGTTCTGGATGGGGGCAATGTGCAAGACCCTAAGACAGAGAAGAATAAAGACTGAGGGAGGGGGGTTGGAGTTCAAAGAAGTAAACAAAAGATTTTTAAACAACAAGGAAAGAATATTTTTAAAAATAACAAACAAGAAATTATGGACCTTAAATAGACTACAACAGCAAGAATAAGTGGTTGTGAAAAAGAACTGATTAGAAATCTAGAAAATAAATGGTAGTCATTGTAATAAAAAAGTAAGTTGATAAATGCTAAATTAGACAAAAAGAACTAAATTGGAAGAGAAGTCTGAAGATGTGCCTAAATGTGTAAATGCCTTGAATGTTGGACACTGCTATCAGTAGTTTATATATTGCGTATTTATCTATTGCTATCTATCAATCACCCTGAACTTAGTGGCTTAAAAAAAAACCTATGTTCATGATCTCACACAGTTTCTGTAGGTCAGGCATGTAGGAGTGGTTTGGCCAGGTAGCTTTGGCTCAGAGATTCCAACAAGGTTGCAGCCAAGTTGTTGCTGAGGCTGCAGTCATCCCAGGGCTTGACTGCACCTGGAGGACCAGCTTCTAAGCTCACACACGTGGCGATTGGCAGAGTTCCTCTTGAGCTGTTGGCCAGAGGCCCCTGTTTCTCTCTTCATGGGCCTGCGTGTTCTCATGACATGATGGCTTTTTCCAAATGAGCAATGGGGGAGGGAGGAACCCAAGAGGAGCCACAGCCCTTTTATAACTGTATTAGTTAGAGTTTTCCAGGAAAATAGAAATAAGAGGGAGAGTATATGTGTGTGTAGTTTTATTATAAGAAATTGGCTCATGTGATTTGGGAGGCTGGCAAGTCCTAAGTCCTACAGAGTGAGTCGGAAAGCTGGAGACTCCGAGAGCCGGTGATGGAGTTCCAGCCTAAAGGCCTGCAGACTGAGACCCAGGAAGCACTGATGTTTCAGTTTTAGTCTGAAATCAGGAATAAGCAGATATCTCCGTTCAAAGTCCTCAGGTAGGAAGAATTCTCCCTTACTTCGGGGAGAGTCAGCTTTCTGTTCTATTCAGATCTTTTTTTTTTTTAATCCTCGCCCGAGGATATTTTTTCCATTGATTTTTTAGAGAGAGTGGAAGGGAGAGGGAGAGACAGAGAGAGAGAAACATCGATGTGAGAGAGACACATCAATTGGCTGCCTCCCACATGCACCCTGACTGGGGCCAGGGATCGAGCCTGCAACCAGGGTATGTGCTCTTGGCTGGAATCAAACCCAAGACCCCTCAGCCCGCAGGCCGATGCTCTAACCACTGAGCAAAACTAACTACGGCTCTATTCAGATCTTTGATTGGGGGAAGCCCACCCACATTAGAGAATAATCTGCTTTCCTTAGTATACTGATTAAATATTAATCTCACCCCAAAACAGAAACACCCAGAATAATATCTGGGCCCCCTATGGCCTAGTCAGGTTGATACGTAGTATTAACCCTCACAATAACCTAACATACCATCACTTCTATGTTCTGTTTGTTAGAAGTAAGTCACTAAGTCCAGCCCACACTCAGAGGGGAGGAATTAAGTTCCACCTCTGGAGGGAAGGAATATAGAATAATTTGTGATATATTTTAAACTACTGTAGGCACTGGTACTTGGGAGACTCCAATATTCATTTAATAGGAGTTCCAGAAGAAAAAAAAAAAGGAAGAAATGATGGAGAAGCCATATCTGAAGAGAGAATTGTTAAGAATCTTGATTGTTCATGAAAAAAGATGTAAGTCTTCAAATAAATGTTCATTCAGGATACGAAACTGAGTGAATGAAAATAAATTTTTATGTAGACATATTGTGATGAAATTGCAGAATATAAATGATAAAGGGACAAGAACTATTAGAGAGAAAAGACATTATTTACAGAGGAAGATAATTAGACTGACAGTAGACTTCTTATCAAAATAATAGGGGCTGATAGGTATTGGAGTAATACTTTAAAAATGATGAAAGAAGACAAATGTAATCCTAAAATGTTAAGCCTGGCTAAACTTTCATTCAAGATTGAGGAGATATTAAAGGTTCAATATGTTATTTAACTTTCTGTGACTCAGATTCCTTATCTACAAATGGGAATAATGATATCTATCTTATAGGTTATTTTCTGCCATGTTTACTGATATATCCCAAGTGCCTAAACAGTGCCTAACATAGTAGGCATTTGATAAATATTTATTGAATGAGTGTATAGGGTGTTATAAAGATTTATGTAAATAAAAAATTTAACTACTCAATAAATGTTTGTTGTTAAGATTTTACCACTCATAGATGCTCACTAAGAGAACTATTAAAAATAATTTTCAACAAGAAGAAAAAATTCAGGACGAGGGTATCAGATATAATAAATAATTATGACACAGAAATTGATAAAGTGCCAGTAAATTAAATAATGATCATGGGGGAAGAAAGAAAAACTAATCTTTGTATTATTTTTTAAACGGTAAACTAAAATCTTTAAGGTGAATCTAAAATATGAAAGAGCAAAGGCCAAAAACGTTAGTGTTTTGAAGAATGAAAAAAGGATATTTTCCTTACCAGATTTATAGATTTATTACAAACTATAATAATTAAGACAAGTGTTAGCGCAGGAAAAGGCAAATAGACCAGTGAAACAAAATGACCCAGCAGTAGACTCACACATATAAGGGAACTTGATATGACAGAAAGCATCACAGATCAGTGGATAAGGTAGAATCTTCCGTAAATTGAACTGGGACAGGTGGTTATTCCTGAGGAGAAAATCATGAAATGGGATATTGTATCCTGTATAAAAATCAGTTTCAGTTGGAATAAAACCTAAGTGCAAAAAAGCAAAACTTTAAAGTTGTCATTTAAAAAATATATAATAGAAGAGTATCTTTCCTTGGGTAAAGAGGGACTTTTTAGAAAAGACAACAGAATACACACATAAAGATTGATGTTACTATTAACATTTTAAATTTCATGTCTCAGAAGATTCTAGAAACAAAGCAAAATCACAAGTCTTATATTTAGGGGAGATATTTGTAATGCATGTAACTGACAAAGATTGGTATTCAGCATAAAAAAAGAATTCCTACAAGTCAAGAAGGAAGAAACAATCTAATGGAAAAATCAGCAAAGAATATAATTAATCAGTTTACAGAATAGGAAATACTGTATGTGTGGCCCATAAGCATGAAAAGATTTTCATCCTCACAATTACAGTAATGCAAATTATACCATTCCATACTCATCAGACAGGCGATGACGGAAAGGATGAGAAGACTATATGTTGGCAGAGAGGTGGGGACCCCACACTCTTACACAGCTAGTAGGGTATTAACACAATCACTCAGGAGTGCTATTTTGGAAAATCTAATAGTTGGAATGTACATAAACACCTGAAATTCTACCTCTAGTGCTCTAGAAAAATGCTCTTCCATAAATTCATGGAAAGCACTATAAGAATGTTTATTCTAACATTCTTTGTTGTGGTAAAACTTGTAAGCAAACTAAATATTAATCTAATGAAAGCATATGCTGAAGTATATTTGCATAATGGAATAGTATACAGCAGTTAAAAAGTCAGTGAACTAAAGCTGTGAGTATCAACATGGACAAATCCTTCACTAAGGAAGATGCAGAAGTATATGCATGATAAAATACTATTTATATAAAAACCATGGAGAACAATACTATATGCTATTTATGGACACATATAATAAAATTATATAATCTTAAGGCATGTTTTTAAACACTAAGTCATGATAAAGGCCACCTCTGAGGAAGTATGTGAATGGATGGAGGGATTCACAAATCAAGAAAGATAAATCGCAAAGAAGGCAAAATGGATGTTTGTTATACTGGACTCTGTACTTACAAAACAACCTTGTTGTAAGGATCTGGTACTTTAATAAAAGCAAACCTCATGTCATTTCCCCATCTGTTAGTAAGTTAAAATAGTTAAGTATTATGGAAAATCTGAAAATTAACTTATCTTCTGTATCTCTTCTAATATCAGCATTCTGAGTGCTACACGGGATTGCCTTGTCCATGTTATAAGTTGTGTTAAAACTTAAGCATTGTCCTCGCCAGTTGCTCAGTGGTTAGAGCTTCAGCCTGCAAACTGAAGGGTCCCGGGTTCAATTCTGGCCTCGGGCATGTACCTTGGTTGCATCATCTTTTTAAGATATGATTTAGTTCAAATGTTTAAAAAGAAATTTTGCCACAGAAATTGGAGTAGTTTTTTTCTTTCTTTATAAAATAAAAATTATAAATTTGAATGTTTTGCATTGTTTGTTTCCCACAAGTTTTCATGGCAGACATTTCAGTAAATGAAGTTATGACTGTAGAGATATTTTAGGTCTTAGGATTATGTCTCAGTCTAGCATTTCTTTGGGTTTCTTGAGTGATGAGACGGTTTTCATTGCGCTACCCAGGATAGATGGGCCGAAATGGCAGGGACATGACTAGAAAGTGCACGTTGTATATGTTTCAGTCAGCATGTTGCTAGTGACAGGTGTTCAATGGTTGTTGGGATCCTTGTCAGCGAAGAGAATCCTTTGACATTAACGTCACCAGCTCAATCCTGATTTCAGGTGACTCTATTGGCAGTTCCATCAGGCTGCAGCTGATCGGTGAATGTCAGAGCTGCCGCTGTTCCTCACGGTGTCACCAGCCCACTGTGGGTTTTTTACTTGTTTATTTGTTTTTGGAGGGAGAGGTTGTTTAGTTTGTCTTGTTGTTCAGTCTTAACCAGACTTTCAAATTGCTTACGTTTGGGAAATGAAATGAGAGGTCATGGGGGATATAGGTATCTTTAGGGCGTGCAAAACCATATACAGAGTGATGACTTACGTGGAGACTAGCAATGATTACCGTGACTCCCAGCCAATCAATGGTGGGAGCACCTGGGGACTCATTAAGTGGCATTTGTGGTGTCTGTAACCTAGGTTTTGAGCTCTGTTTCCGGAGAAGTAGTGACAGCCTTTAATGTCTAATTGACCTCTTCTCTTTGTTTCACTTTCTTTCACTTTTCACGTTTGCCTCTGATGTGGTCCCTGGTGGCAGCAAACAGCACTGCTCAGCATTTTAAACTTCTGCTCAGAGCTTCAGCACCTCAGTTTGGGGAGTTGTATGATGGTGAGTATTTGAGAATTCTTTATACTCAGTTGCTCGTTCCCTTTTCCTTCTCACGGGTGAATTCTGTCCTGGCTCATCCCACCCCACACCCACCCACAGCTTTTGTGATTTACGATGAACTATTGGACCTGACTTGCAAATGTTTTTCTTAAATTGGAGAGTGTGTCTGTGAAACACTGACATTATTTAGCCATGAGAGCAAGGAGAGCAGTGTAGTGCTGTAGAAAGAGTTTGGTTCTGCCTCAAGTCAGGTGTTATCTCAGACAAGATCTCTGCCTCTCTGGTTTCTTTATAAGCGATCAGTCATACCCATATGCCAGTAGTTCAGTGAATTTTTAAGTTCTAAGATTACTTCTGGAAATGTTGATGATAGTAAATAGGCTTATTTTGTTTGTTTTTTGTTTTACTGGCCTTACTGGGTAAGATAAAAAGATAGATATTCTGTGTTGGAACTCAAGTTTTCTTGAATTTTACTGGTCCATGAGATCCAAAAGGATAGGAACTATTCAACTAGTCTCTAAAGTCCTTTCAGATTTCAAATTATGACTTTATGTACCATTAAAAGAGCTCATGGGATGAGTTTAATCTTTTTCATCTAAATTACATGACTTATAAATAATACTGACACTCAAGGGACTGTAGAACTCTTCGTTGTGTGTGCGTGTGTGTGTGCACACGTGCATGCGTGCACGCTCAGAGGAAATGCATCTCCCAGTATAATTGTGAGCAATCCATTCCTCTTCAAGGTAGATTTTGGAGATTCCCCAACCATCCCAGCTTTGCAGCCACTTACTAGGAAGGCCAGAATAAGCAGAATGGTTGTGAGATTCCAGAGAGGTTCTCCGGGTGTCCTAGACTTGGATTCAACAGCGACAATCACTGACCTAAAATAGATCCCACTTGAACACCTTTTAGAGCTCAGCAATGGCTTCAGAGATGCCCCTAGGTTCAGCAATGCAGGCTGGAGAGGCCAATAATAATGCCATATTTGTCTCCATGTCCCTGCAGTTTTAAATTCTAGTGGTTAGGCCTGATGAAACATCAACTATGGGCTCAGGCCCATCCTGGTTTCTGGAAACAGTGTTGGGAGCCCACTAATTAGATTTTCCTTTCATCTGGCCAGATTCTTACTTTAGTAAGTCATTTAGTCATTTCATGAGCTTCTGTTGGGTCCTCTAGTGGCCCTTCTAGATGGGCCCTATGACATTCGATTGGCAGTTTCTGTGACAATACATATTTTTCCTTTGCTTAAACCAGTGTTTTTCAGTTTTACCCGACTACTGAACCCATTTTTCCATATTATATCTATTAATATGTAATACACTATGGTAAATGCTGCTTTAGAAAAATAAGCAATATTTAAATTAAAGTATGTAGTTACTAGTAAAATATTGTTACCATTGATATTTGTTGTCAGGAAATGAAATATTAAGAACTTGACATTAAAGTTCAGAAATAATGCTAATATTGCTGATACTACCATTACCGTCATGATCAGAACATTTTCTGCTTGTCATAGAAATTCTGTTCTTACTTCACAGCAGGCCCAGAGTTTACCAGGACAGTAACAGAGACAGCTTCTAATTGATACCTTAATACTATGTGTATCTCAGTTTCTTTTCTGTCAATTGACCAAAAGGACAGTTTGCTATTTTATTTTTGACTGTCAAAATAATAGTGATCAGAGTCATGGGTTTCTGAACGTTGTTAAATGTTTCTTTCTAAAGAAGCAAATTGGCTGCACTAATTATCAAAGCTACAGTTCTGTGCTGTTCAGGTATGCTCACTGAAGTGAGTAGGTGTATCCTTCCCAATCTGCTTCTCATGGCTTCTGCATGATTCTACCATATAGTTGCTAAAGACCAGAAATCATCACCACTATATCTAGTCCATCAGCTTTAGGTTCTGACTCAAAGCATAGCCCCAAATCTGTCCATTTCTCCAGTTCCACTGCTACTTACTTAACCCAGCCCCCTGTCCTCTCTTCTCTAAGCCAGTGCAGACTTTTTCACTGGGCCTCCTCCCCCACTCTTACCCACCATAGACCATCTTTCAGATAGAATTAAGAGGGGGTTTTGTTTGTTTTAATATAAATCGTATTTGTTTCTAACCCTCCATTGATTTTCTTAGCACTTAAAATAGAAATGAAACGCCGTCATGGCCTAATGGCCTAGCCCCAGCATAACTCTCTGTGCTTACAGCCTGTCCTGTCCTGTCCCTCACTACCCAGGCCTACACTGATCTCAGTTCTGTCTGTTCACTGGACTCACCCTGGAGCTCCCGGCAAACACCTCGGCCCTCCTCAGCTCCTGACACTCTGACTACTCTCACATCACATCACCCTGTCTTATTATCTTCACACCGCCACTCTCTGAATTTATTTTGCTCATTTATTTGTCTGTATGTCTTCCCCAGAAATGTGAACAGTCTGTCTGTCGGTTCACTGTTGTTCCTAGTGTCTGGAGTGGTGCTGGCCCATAGTAGTGGAGAATGTGATTGAACAGCGAAACAAAAGGAAACAATCTGGAAGTGTTTGCTATTTTGATTCCTTTTGACTTCTGGTGATAATTTTGATGCCTGATTATAACAAAATCAAATGAGCCTCTTAACATTTAAGAACCTGTTTAAAGAAACATTATTAAAACATGTAAAGCCCATGAGCTTAAATGTTTAATCCTTGGTTAGTAAAGGCTTATCCTGGGATCTTGAGCTAAATCATTGGGCACCTCCTGTAACTGAGAATGATTAACATATTGTAATCTAAATTATTTTTGTATTGTATATGCAATCCCCAAATGCCTCATTTTACCTGAACCAATATCCTTATTATTACTGTCAGCATATTCACATACTGTTTTAGAGCCTAGTAAAGAGTACACCTTTATCAAGGAGCTCTTATATATGTACCAAAGTTGATTAAGTATATTTAAAATAGAAGAAGCTAGGTCTTGTCAGGGAGTAGCAGCATCAAGGTCAAAATGCGAGGCATACGGGAACAACATGGAATCCTCAAATTTTCGTGAGAGACTGAGGGTTTCAGACTGCTCTGGGATTTCATTCATTAACGTCCTCTGTCTGGAGTCCTGTTAAATAGGTTTTTAAGTAAGTGATTACTCTTGCTGTCTTATGAGGCAGTGGCAGGTCTGTGAGATGAGTGGGCAGATCTGTACCAATGAGAATGTGGGTATGTTTTACACGGAAGCAAACAATAGGAGATGATTTACAATGTTTTAACGAACATTAAGAATGTTCGTATTTCTGAGCATAATGTATGAAAGACTGTTATGATTTGATTTCCAGATTGAAGACTATGATGTGATCGCCAGCATGATAGGAGCCAAGTGTAAGAAGCTGCGTACCCTGGATCTGTGGAGGTGTAAGAACATCACTGAGAATGGGATAGCAGAGCTGGCGGCCGGGTGTCCGCTTCTGGAGGAACTGGACCTCGGCTGGTGCCCTACTCTGCAGAGCAGCACTGGCTGCTTCGCCAGGCTGGCACGCCAGCTCCCAAACTTGCAAAAACTCTTTCTTACAGCCAATAGGTCTGTGTGTGACACAGACATTGAGGAACTGGCATGCAATTGTACCAGGTTGCGGCAACTGGACATACTAGGTAAGGATACAATATATAAATTTGTTTTAAAGCCCTGACATAAGAACTAATGTCAGACTTTTTGCAAAGAAAAAAAACAACTTATTGGATACAATAAAAATTTTGTCCGGATAAGACTGCTTGACTTGAGAGGAAGTGCAAGATAGGTTAAGTGATATGGAGAGGAATTATATCTGTACTTGAGTAAAAGAGTGAGGACAATAACAGAATTTTATCGTTGAACCCATCAGAAAGCTCTAAATAACCATTAATTCTTGGTCTAGCAAGAGGAGTGAGAATTTATATGAGCTGTATTCTCCATTTTTATTAAGGACATTTAAGAAATTAATCCATTTGTCTAATGAATTCAAATATATATATATATATATATATTTGAATTCATTAGATATCTTCTTGATGTTGAATTCTTGATTAAGAAATATTATAAAACCTCTATCCCTAATGAAAATCCTTTAGTTCTGGGATTTTTTTAAAAAATATATCTTTATTCATTTCAGAGAGAGGAAAGGAGAGGGAGAGAGAGAGAGAAACATCAGTGATGAGAGAGTCATTGATCGGCTGCCTCCTGCACGCCCCCAACTGGGGATCGAGCCCGCAACCCGGGCATGTGCCCTGACCGGAAATCGAACCCCGTTCGCCTGGATCCCAGGTTGACGCTCATCGGCTGAGCCACGCCCAGCTGGGCAAGTTCTGGGATTTTTTGTGTCCTTATTTCAATTTCTTAGCCGCGAACCCTGTGAGTTTTTGTTACTTCTTACTTCCTTTAGACAGAAGTACTAGCAGTGCCACAGTTGTCCCACATAGGGCTGGCACTGTGTTATCTGGTAATCTGTACTAAGAGATCAGTCCATGAAGTTTAATTATATTTTTTCCTCTTTATTAAACATTCAACAAAAGGAAAACCTGAAGATTTTCAACACCTGTTTTTGTGGTTTTAGTTAAAATCTCTTCACAGCTCAGGTTTATGATACATTCATAGATGTTTCTTACATAGTTCCATGTTATTTATTCAAGCTACTTCCAGGCAGAAATTCTTGCCTATTATATGCACACTTTGGGCCAGATCCTTCATCTAGGTTACGTTTTTCTTAACTTTCCTAGTTCAGGGAGTTGTGGCAGTATAGTTACAGCTTCCGCAGCCCATATCAGGGAGGGCAGTAGAAAGGAGTTCTCAGAGAAAAAGCATAGATTAACATTTCAGAAACTTCAATCCCTATCCCAGTAGATATATTATGTTATACAGTTGTGAACCCCGTCCCCACCGTAAAGCTATAGTTAAGCAAGAAAGGTATTGTTCTAACAGATGACATCTTAGAGCCTAGTGATAATTTAGCTTCCATCTGAACATCCCATAATCACTTCAGATTTAAAATGGACTAAATAGTACTCATCACCCATGACCTGTCTTCCAGTACTGCCATTTTATACTCACCACTTACAGTAAAACTTATCAAGTTGTGTTGTAGCTAATAGCTTTCAACTCTGGTCACTGAGTTCCTTGCATCTCTAGTGCTTGAAACAAGTTTCTACAGGGAAGTTGCTCAGTAACTGCACGGCGTGGAACTGGAGGTTGAATCAGCGTAAGCATCGCTGACCGATTTGACCCATGGATTGAGGAGAAAGAGATTCAAACACTTTTAAACTGGGGTGATAGGAACAGGAAAGTCTGGAGAAGCTGACTGAAGGGACAGGATGTAGGGGTGAAGAGAGAGGGTAGAGTATTGACATTTGATGTCAAATGGGCTGGGAAAATTCAGTTTGCATTTGTTTTCAGGATTGTTCCCATATGCAATGTTCTAAGAAATGTTTTTAATTTTTAAAAGGCAATTTAAGTGTATTTTAAACCATAATAAAAGGACTCTATCAGAACATTATATAAATATTATATTTAAAGTGTTTTATGTGGTTTTGTTTTTTTGAACAGGAACAAGAATGGTAAGTCCAGCATCCTTAAGAAAACTCCTGGAATCATGCAAAGATCTCTCCTTACTTGATGTGTCCTTCTGCTCTCAGATAGATAATAGAGCCGTGCTAGAGTTCAATGGGAGCTTTCCAAAAGTGTTCATAAAAAAGAGCTTTACTCAGTGACTTTATATATATTCTATAATAAAATTAATGTGCTTTTTTGTAGGGTTGTATTTTAGGAATGGTTTTGTTTCTTGTTTTGTGTGGTTTTTATAATGGTGGGAATGTCTTAACCCATTAAAACATTTGTAGATTTTAAAGAAAAATATGAACTATTCTGCCCAGCCAGGCGTGGCTCAACGGTTGAGCATTGACCTAGGATCCAGGCGATCGGGGTTCGATTCCCGGTCAGGGCACACACCCGGGTTGTGGGCTGCAGCCAATCAATGACTCTCTCATCATTGATGTTTCTCTCTCTCTCTCTCCCTCTCCCTTCCTCTCTCTGAAATCAATAAAGATATATTTAAAAAATATATATATGAACTATTCTGAAGTACAGATAGGCATCACCATGTGCATATGTTGATCCATGACAATATGATTCTCACTGGGCATGTTTATCACTGGAAGGCAGTGATAGAAAGAATTCCAGTAGATCCCTTCTTCTCTCGATCATTTCCTTTTAGCATGTATTACATTACAGCCTAATCACTTCCAACTGAAGGTTAGATGGAGGCTCCTTGACTACACAACTGAATGGATTTTGGAAAATGGAAATTTCCTTTATATTTGTATCAGGGTCCAAAAAATCCTTTAGACCTATAGTTTGAGCTCAGAGCTCAGAACATCTGTTGCAAGTTTATGTGAGAGTGGAGATCTCGCTTATTGTCTTAGCCTGTTGGTAGCACAGGAAGCATATGAAGCCGTTCTGTGTTACTTCATAATTCAAACAATATTAGTTGCCATCAAAATTACATATGTTTCACATATAAACACTGTTTAGCTCCACACAGCCACACCCCACATACATTTTCTTGATCCACTCATCTGTTGACAGACATTTAGGTTATTTACAGATCTTGGCTATTGTAAATAATACTGAAATGAATGTGGGAGTGCAGATATCTCTTTGAGGTCCTGATTTAAAAAATTTTTATATATGTATACCCAGAAGTGGGATTGCTGGATCATATGGTATTTTTAGTTTTAATTTTTTGAGGAACCTCCATAATGTTTTTCATAATGGCTGAACCAATTTACATTCCCACCAACAATGCACCAACCAGGGTTTCCTTAACAAGAGAGAACATACAAACTATCCATTAAAATTTGAAGCCAAATGACCCATTGTTATTAGCATTGTCAACTGACTTAATTTTTTTTATAATTATTTATCTTAGCATTTTGGTAAGATAAATCATCTTCCCAGTGGCTAGTAATAAAGACATGTCCCCGACTCTGTGAGCATAATTATTGTATCCTTTCCATTTAAATTGCTTGAAATAAGACCCTAAAAAATATACAATCTGTAGCAGAAAACATTTAGACAGTTAACATTTTTCCCTTTCTTTGTATTGATTAGCTTTGAACCAATATGTAAGAAAGAAAACTGATTTCTTTGTGGAAGTATTTTTACTTTTTTGGGTTTTCTAGGAATTAAGACCAAAAACTCATATTTGCAAGTGTAATAATAGTGACCAGGAGTCAATAAAAATTACATAATGAATGTTTGGCTTTTCATTTTTTACTTTAAGGTATTAAAAGGTTGCTATTATCGATAGGGTAATTTTAATTTTAAAAGCCATTTATCACACATTTATCAGTGTTGCATCCAGTTGCCCCCAGTTTAGCACATTTAATATTGGTACTTCAGGAGAGCGCTTTTTTTTAACCACTATGAAAATTTCGTCAGTGACCCTTAACAGAATATTAGCTGTTGCCAAAACACTGTTTAGCCGCTCTCATTTTATTCGTAGAGCCTAGTTCTCTAGCAGTACATTAATGTCAATAAACAAACGGGGTGATGATTGGCTGCAATAGCTAGAAGTCAAAAGGTAAAAGAGATAAATTACTTTAATCAGAGATAATGATTTATTATATATTTTTTATAAATACAGCTAGAGGCCAAGATTTTTCTTTTGGCACAGTGGAAATAATGCTTAAGGTTTTTGCCTATAAATGAATTACTGGCTTAAATTTTAATACATGTGAATACTGTTACTAGTTTGGAAGGAAAAAGGTGCCCTGGCCAGTGTGGTTCAGTTGGTTGAACATCCTTCCAGGTACTGAAGGGTCAGCGGTTCGATTCCCGGCCCTCCCCTTGTTTCTCTCACATCGATGTCTGTCTCTCTTTCTCTCTCTCTTCTTCTCACTCTCCCTTTCCCTTCCTCTCTCTCTAAAATTAATAAAAACATTTTTAAAAAAGAAAGGAAAAAGGTAATTATAACATTTTAAGAGGAAGATGATTATCAATGTATTTAGTAAATTAGTGAAGTCTTAGCTATACAATTTTTAAAGAAAAATTTAAAAGCAAACCAGTCCTATGATCAGTAAATTGAGTAGGTAGTTCTTTCTGTTACAAATGAGAAGCTAAACAGACAACTGAGATGTTTTAAATTTTATTTGTATAAAAATGCTGTTTGGTATCTAATGGTTTTATTGTTTGTATTATTCTGTACTTTAGGGTAATAAGATAAGCTTGAGTATCTCGTTAGCTCACTTTCAAAACTGACCATGTCAGTACACTGCTGTATACGATGGAAGGTTCGGGTAGAGAGGTTTGTGTCGCGGCCTCTGTGAAATGCGGGATAAGCCTGGAAGATGAGGCGTCATCTAACACTAACACTAACAGTCCATCCTCATGCTATGAAAGGACATCAGCTCAGGTGCATTTTAAACTCTAAAATCACACCAGTCTGCAATGAAACCATAAGCTGAGTTCACACTGTTACTTCTATTTTTCTCTGTAGTTCCGCCAAATGGGTTTTATTGACTTAAAGTTTGGTTTGTCACATAAAACCAAAGTTTGATACAGTGTTTTCCTACTTTTACTTGTGAGGTATCATGTACTGTTATTTATTTGCTTTTTGTAGAAGCCAGTTCCTTCATTGCTAATTAGCTCCTAAGTTGTCCCACAGTTCTTAGTCATGCCCAGATGACTTTTGGTGAACTAGAATGGAATAAATGACAACAGATGAGAGACAGCCATCCATCTATTTAGTCCAATATATGTATTGACAACAAATAAGTATTGGCATCTGTGTGCTAGGCACAGATTGGGGTGGGGGTGGGGGTTTACAGAATGCTTATCAGTAACCACAGAGCAAATTTCAAAAACTGTTATGTGCCAAGAAAAAATTCTGTGGTGAAATAAGCATGGGATACAATGGCCTCAGCAACATCAGGCAGGCTTCTTTACTGCTGCACTTCAGAACTGCTAATATCTAGTGGCCACTGACGGTGGGATGAGCCAAGGTCCATAGTGGTTCCCAGCTTTTGGTGGAATGCCTGTCACCGGTTTTTGAAAACTTCACTTCCTCAGAGCATAGTTTGGAAAATGCTGCTAAGAAGCATTATATGGTATATTATGGAAGGTATTCACTACAGTGACTTTTAATATACTTGCTAAAGAGTATGCATTGTAATTTGTTTCTAACAAAGATTTTTAATTTATTAAGATGAAGATTAGGAAGTTGACTAGTACTTTGGTGATGTAATTTAAAAAAATATTTCTGAGCATGATTACTCTTTTGGGTTCATAATTTCTAACTCAAATTTTATTCTTATATTAGACTTTTAGACTTTGTGTTTACTTTTCTGTGAAATGTGAACCATGTCTAGTTATTGGGAATGCCTAAAGGAACTGCTGTACCATCTGATGATTTTTAATATCTGTATATAGGATTCTACTCTCAAGTTGCTTTATTTAATATTTATATGCTGTGCTAGTCCATAAACTATTCTAATAAATTAAGTGTGTGTTAATTTTTAAAAGTAGAAATGTTAAATTAATTTCTTATCAGTGACTATTTTAAATTTGTTTAATATGTAATTTTTAAAAATGGGTATAGTAACACAATTTACTACTAGCATTCATTTTCCTTAAGTGTATGAATGAAGGAAGGTAGTAATTTATTACAAGAATCATTTCTTCCCAATGAATACTTTTATGTGAATCCTGTTCTATGTGTAGTCACATATATACATATACATATTTATTTCAGTCTCTCAAATAAATATGTGTTTAATTTAGTTAAACTTTTTTTAGGGGGAAATTCTATTTCTGCAATATGTTCTATAGAATAGATATTGCTGCTAAGATTACAACAAAAGCTAGAAAATTATTAATACAAACAAAGACTGGCTCGCCATTTTTCTTACTTGAGATGTTTTTGCTGATAGATATGCCAAATAAAGAACTGATAGTGTTGAAGCCCTGTTTATTTTGTTTAAAAGTCCTAAAAATAAATCTACCCAGTAAAACCTAAACTGTTTATAAGTCCTTATAATGAGAAAAACTGAAAGACCTTAAAATGTGTGTACCTATCATATGTATCCTTACAGTTTGTCAGCATTGTGTCACGCATGTGTAACTACCCAGAGAAGAGAGACAGTATTCAACTATGACTACTGTTTTGCTTCTGTCGTTCAAAATGTCTTCTGATTTCCCATCTATGAACACTCCTGGCAGAGTCAAGGTCTCATTTCCTGCTGTAGGCACATCAGCTTAACCAGTGCCTAGACTCTGAGCAGAGCAGTGTTCCTGGAGTGGCGTCAGGCCTCATTTCTCAGTGCCTTCAGTCCTCAGCCTCTGCAAGAAGCCACTAGCCTCAGCTTTAAGTCTGTAGCCTTAAATGCTCCCTCATAAATCAAACTAGGCCATCTATTTTTTTATACTTTGAATATTAAAGTACCAAATGTTAAAGAAGGTGAATTTTTAAGCCTAGTACATGGAGAAATGTTTAACTGCCAACTCTCTGGTAGAGGTAAAAGCCCTGATTTGTAGCACCTTCCAATTACTGTCGTGTAAATTTTCCCACCACGATTGCTTTCAGGTTTCCAGGCTTCCAAAGTGAAGTCAGCCAGTGCTGAGTTGGAATGAAATGCACACACTTTGCTCTTTTGAGTTGATAGGAACTGGCTCTAGCTCACCACTACCAGATGAAATTATTAAACGCTGATCTCCTAATTCCTGAAAAATAGGCATAATAATCTATAGCCAGATTTCCCCTAGAGTTGGTGTTATCTATAGTCAAGTTGTCCTTCAGAATCATATGAAATTCTTCCTTGCCACTGAATACATTAAAAGAATAAAATTAAAATAGAT